AGTGAGTAATCACAGCCTGAATTTAACTTGCTTGCTAATTGTATATGATTATAAACCCTAGCAAAACAATAAATTCACTCATTAATACTATCATAAATTTTTGGTTTGGTTCTTTTTATTTTAGATTTTTAAGGCCATTATGGTGAAATATATATAGGGTCATTATGGTGGAAATTATAATTTTGAATTTTTTTATAATGGTACAACATGGGTGGCAAATGCTACTAATGCATCGTCTTTCACCGCCGTGAGTCCAATGGGCAGGTCACTGGTTTGTGGCCCTGCAGTCCTCACATGTGAATTGAGTTTGTTTGATGTGTTGTTCTCTCCTGTGCCACAAGGGTTTTTCTCTGGGTTCTCTGGTTTTCGTCCCTCCAAAAAAATCAACATGTGAGTCAAGCGTTGTGTGCATAAAATAGTAAATGAAGTGGTAGTGAGTTTGAGTGAAAGCAGACCCACATCAGAGAAAGCTGCCAGAATAATCAGCCTGCTCTAACAAAATATTATGTTTTATTATATAATTACCAATGAAATATCTATTTTTCTCTATTTCGAAAAATTGATATCTTCACACGTGAAAATAACATGTTATTTTCACGTGAAGATAACACCATTGCGATGGCTATTCAAAAATACACGGAAAGAATTGACTGAAAAAGCCAAAACATACTTCATTGATAATTATATAATAAACAGATTACATGGCCGCTTGGAGATACAAATTTTATCTTCTCCTGTTGAAAATCTTCACTCCGCTCAATCGTGAGAGATCTTTTCAACACTCGAAGATAAAATTCGTATCTCCGTGCGCCCATGTAATATCCTCTATATTATAACAGTCCATMAGAAATACTGAATAAAGATTTTACTTACGCCCAGAAATCTTCCACCTGTTATCAACATAGATAGTTTGGTCAAGGATTCTTATACCGATATCTGAATCACTAACACTAAAACATTATCAAACTAATYATGGTACATTCACATTGATTGATCCTTTRATTCTYTATCATTAYGAAGAGCATTAGTTACAAAATAACGGCTGGTTAGACTGACTCGTCATGAAGATCAGTCAAATTAGTTTTAGCTTGGTTACACCTAGTTTTTGGCTCATTGTTACTGGTCAAAATGATAATAATTCTGGCTGTATGCTGGATATTGTCCAATGACCAATGTAAGGATGTTGTATGAATTGACCTTTTCGGCGCTAGCCATGAAGTAGTATAAATGGTCTTGCATTGTGTTACTGTCACCAAGAAGTTCRGACATTGCTCTTGAATTTCCGTTCAAGTGTACCCACTTTTAAACGAATTTTTTACTTGGTTTGTTTAGCTAACTTTCTAAATATGAGCAAAATATCATCTTTCTAACTTGATTGAAGCCTTTCTTGTCACTGTTTGGAGAGCTAACTAAAGAAATCGATCTGAATTTTCTTTTTAAAGTCAGTTAATTTGTATGGGAATTTGAGGATAACGTCCGAACTTCTTTACACGTGACGGATAGTGCCGAAAAGGTGAATTGAAATGTACATACTCGACCTATCGAAACATCAAAGAAAAAAGCCAATATCTAATTGGTCAGCATTAAAAAACATGATTCAAAGTTGCCAAAATGATTTTAAAAAAGAAATCAAAAACTCGTGGAAATGTTCATGGTACGGCATGTAGCACAGTAGTAGTCTCTCAGAGTGTAGTGCAAACTTATCAAGCTGAGCAACTATAATATTTACAAAGCAATATTTAACAGTCATTGGCAAAATTATATTTTTTTAGTAAAAATACACAGGTGATTATAGAAACTCTCAGGCGCTGATTGGTCAAGAAACTCACACTATCACACGATAATCACCTTGAGCGAAAATCCAAAATGGCAGCCATCAGCTTTGTTGCTGTTACCGGGAAAAAATGCCTTATATCTTCTCTTTTTTTCTTTTTTTGAAAGAATCACCTGTGTATTTGTACTAAACTCAGACTCGGTGATTACTAGGGAATATTTACCTCGCCGCTCGAAGACTCGCGTCTTGGTAAATGTTCCCCGATAATCACTTCGTCTTCGGCAAATAATTGTTAAATAATCATAGGGTTGCACAATTGAGCCWTTGCATATTGGTAATAGCATCCATGCTATAAAAATACTACTTTTAAAAGGGTTGGAAGGTATCTGTTTTTGTTTGTTTTCTAATGTTTGGTAGGATACAGTATCAAATGACGTGACAGTCCTCAAGTTCTCAGTCCATGATTTTTGTTTATCATTTTTGAAAAACCACAAACTCCATTTATTCTGGAGTGGATGCTTGATATATTTCTGAACTGGAGCAACTGCATTTTCTTTCTTCACTTCCTCCTTCACCTATCACCAAAAAAACACACTATAATACATGTATTATTAGATATAAACTGGACAAAACAAGCCTGGCATTGTTTATTCACATCCACTTAATTTTAGCGCTTTTAGAGCTTGGTTTGATTAATTACTTGGCTTCCTGAGTAATACCCAAGGTATAAGATTTCGTTTTTTTTTTTGTTCCTCATATAAGATGGAGCACAAAATACAGTAACAGAGATTTCAAACATACAGCTGAACCAAGAAACAAGCCCTTGGAAAAMCGAGTACACGCTCTGAGAACAGCTAGTTGTTTATTTTTCCATTTTAAAAGTATAGCAATAACATTGAAAATGACTGAAAAAAATAAAGCAAAATGCAACTGAGAAAATGTATTCTCACCTTTCCGTAATGCAAGAAACTGACTAATTGAACAACTCTTAGGGATTTTTATATAAATGCATTATTATTTTAAGAGCATTGAGGCCTTGAATTGTGATGCCTTAGAAATATTATTACTTTAATATTAATTAATATTTTCTTTTTAGGTTTCGAGTGATGGAAAAAACGTGAAATTGGGCCTAGATCAATAAATGGCAAGCCAATAATAGAAACAAAAATTGAAATAAGATATGGAATGATATAAGACGTTATAATGACAGCATTTAAATTGACAGCATTTAAATAGGCAGCATACAGGTGGAGGCCACTTAAATGGAAGAAAACATTTACATATTCTAGCTGCTCTTCAACTTTATGAATATGTCATTAATGTAATCGTATTGGTGACAAATCAAATAAGATTTCTTATTTTTTAACTAGTGATGATGATTAACRAGATTAAAATAAGCATTTTTTTAAATATAGAAGATAAAGGTAATTCATTTATTTATCCATTTATTAGTTTCGCCATATATTAAACTGGAAATATAATAACTGAAAAAAATACTGTGATATATATGACAGGGTGACCGCAACAGCGTTAAGCTTTGTAACCTTATATTCTGTATATTCTTAGGGATATATGGTAATCAACCTTTTCCCTTCAACCTTTTACCTTGGGTATGTCTGTTTACATTTCGAACACTATTGCCAGACAGGAACACTTTAACTAAGCATTAATTACTCTAGAGTTTAAAACCAAGGGACTACGAATCTGTGGCCCTGTCTTTCCATATTAGTCATTATCACATGTAGCATATGTACAGTACTGTATAACTGTATATTAAGTCAAGAGATAAAAATATCGTCAAAACTTATCTGTTTTATATAAGATTTTAATACTAGGTAAGAGACAGAAATCAGATGGGTCACAGAGATGGGTGGCAATATTACTTAAATGCCAAATAACTATCAGATCAGGCTCAGTGGTCTSGGAAATGCAATATCCTAGACGATAAAGAAAAAATTTTCAACTAAATATTATAAGGTAACGGCTTTCTCCTCGTGCGATGAATCAGTCGAAAGACATGTTATATTTTAGTTGAGAACGAAATTCGGTATAGTGTCAGAGTTGCTGTAGAAAATATCAAGCATAAAGGTAGCCTGATATACTGCATGATTGTTATAGTCATCAGACAAGCAAAGCATAGACAGTTCTAATTATATAATCAAATGAATGTATCACACATGTTGTCAACTCAGTAGCTGCATAGATTAAGGTTTATATACAATGCTTACTAATATTAAATAAGCTATTTATTATGATATACACCTATATTTTTCTGATGAGCAAATGAACATCAACAATATTTACCATAAGTGGTAAAAACCGGGAATTGATAAAGAAAAGCGAGGTGGTATATACTAAGTAACCTATAGACTAATAATTATTTACGATTTTAAACATTGCAAAATGGCACAACATAGCGTCAACTTTAATAACTAATTGCATGGGGGCGGGTAGATCATATTTTGAATAAAGACTTCAATAAAACCGAATAAAGAGAGTTTCTAAATATCTTGATAATCTTACCAGATTGTAAGACTAATATTTTGAGAAACAACTAAATTAGAAGTTAAAATATTATGCGATTGTGTTTAACTCCAAGATGAATTTAGAAGGATTAAATCAATATACTGTAAGCTTATTTCTTCAATTAGTTTAGAATAAATGAGCAAAAGATTGACGAAGATCGCGAGGAAGTACTTCCAGAAGAAGGGAAGACCACAAATTGATCTCATTCAACTAAAAACTAAGATATCTGGAAGAGCAACTCAAAGATACTCCTAAAACCTAAAACTGGTGTTATCATAAAAGCCAAAAATGACGACCTTTTGAAGAAAACACAAATCTACGATTGTACTTTTGCAAAAACTTGTACAACCAATTCAAGGCCTTGCTTCAATGGGCAAATATGCCGAGACTAATCGCGAGGAACTCAACTTAAAACTCTATTTTCTCGGCCAAACGTTGAAGAATTCGCCCTTAATTTAGCACTATGATGAACCTTAATTATTGAATTTGTTGTTTACCTGTTCGTTTTTGGGTTCCTTGTTTTCTTTAACGGTAGATTCGTCTCCAGAAGCCATAGTRTACTCGCTGAATCTTTCTTTCTCTTTTAGAGAGAGTCAAGATCTTCTGTACCGGTATGTCACGTGGGTTCTTGAACATGCGCACTGCAGGAGCACGTTTCTTGAAACAACCAGCCCAGGCTCTTGCGAGCGGTGGCTCGGTGGGGGAGCGACGCTATTTTGACACTTAAAAATTATTGTAGCTTATTATTATTTATTTGATATGAAAAGAGTAATAATTGAAAATGGGCTCCCTGTGGTTAGGAGGAAATTAAGCTTGTAAGTTYCATTAATGGAAAGCATAAAATTGAAAATATTCTTACATTAAATAGTTTTAGATTATTAGRATTTTATTAGGAAAGTCAGTATCGAGATCTAGAAAGTATTATTTAAGTCCAGGTAATAGGGATATTCGTTTTATGAAAATAAAAAATTGGGTTCCCTGTGGTTAGATGGATATCAATTAACTAGCCAAATGGATTTAAAAGTCGTGACAATATTAACATGATAATCTTTCACGGAAGGGCAGAAAATGCCGGGAATGATCCACTTTTAAAACTTTAAGTGAGAAAATAAGTGTTCCCTTTCTCCGTATGCAAACAATTTCGCAAGTACTTTTGTGACATCAAGAAACTGTATTGAAAAAGACAATATGAAAGGAAGGACAAGACGCCTATTAGGC